ACTTCAACTCCCAGCATGCTGGGAGTTGAAGTCCACACATCTTAAAGTGGCCAAGGTTGAGAAACACTGCCATAAGGTATCGTCATCCCAATCAATTCAGGGCTTGTATTTGAATCGAGAACCAGCCAAGGCTAATTCATCTGATCTACAGCTATAACCGTTTGCTTGGAGAGCCATAATCCAGTGTTTTCAAATTATTTTTAACGGCAGCTCCACGGAGAGATGATCATGGATAGTGTTCTGGCAGGGAGGAAGGGGGTTAAGACCCCACTTTGCACACAAGTACTGTACCTCTTTAGCACTCCCATTGCTTTTAGAAACAGGTATTTCTGAGCCAGTGTGGGCAATGAGGGAGAAATGCCCCAAGGTCTTCACAGCACTGGCACGTACATAGCTCTCAGTGTCATCCAGAAGGCCTTCTAGGAACATGGATACCTCTGAAGAGAGTAGCTCTTGCCAAAACCAGTCTTGCCCTGTGTAGGGAAATGGCACTACCAATATACACACTTTGCACTGGTGGGGGGGGGACGTGTGTGCAGCGCCCCAGGCTGCAGCTTCTGGAGTCTGCTAAATCACAACTGCTGAAAACTGCTGGCCTACCTTCCCGCTCCTTTGAGGTCAAAACCCCCAAGTCCCTGACTCCAAACTGCAGAAAAAAACAAAAAAGCTGGGCCTGCCCTCCAGAAGGCATCCTTGCCATAGCTCTTTACTGAGCAGGAGTACATGCAGGGCGCCCAGAGTGACCTCCAGGCCCACAATCAGGACAGCACCAAGAAAATCTGCCCGAGGTTCCTGGAAGTTCAAAGACGCTTCAGGAGAAAAGACCACCATTCCCAGCCCTCCAAACAAAGTCCGCGGCAGTCCGGTATGGATGCTCTGCTTAACTCTATACAGCTGCCAAAATGCTTCTCCTCCACGCTGCATTTGTGCTACCCTACCTCTCAGGTGCTTCATCGCCAGGCTGAGAAACTCCAGGGCAGAGTCTCGTACTTCCCAGCTCGGACTGCACATGTGTTTCTGTAACACCTGCACCGTATCTGCAAAGAAAGAGAGGAGACAAAATTGTAGGACTTAGCCAATAGAACTGGGCCATCCTTTCCAACCCCCTCCTAAATGCAGGTTAATCTGATGAAATGATGCTGGCTTAAAATCTAAGCCTTCCAGCTCAAAAAAATTTAAATATCTGGAGCTGGGGAAAAACACACACACACACACACACACACACAACACAAGCTAGCATGGTTCAGATGCAGTCCAGCCTTCCCTAACCTAGCACTATCCCAATGTGCTGATCTATGATTCCCGTCGTCCCAAACAGCTGCAAGGCTGAGGAAGGCTGGGCTGATTCCTTTCTTACAAGTTAGCTTAAGCTCATGTATGTCTCATCTAGTCACAGCATTGACACCTCTGAGAAACTGTCTGTGTTGTTGGGAATCGGCAAGGGAGACGGATGGATCCAAGGCACTCAGAAGCCACTTTAGGGTTCCTTGAAGGGCTTTCTTCAGAATCTGGAAGGGAGTCGAAGGATATTTCATTTATTAGCAGATATGGCTCCCTGCTTGCCATGTAATTCGGGGCAGCTAACAAGAAATTACGAATCACAAGGAAGAAACCCAGACATTAACACAGCACGCTCAAGACGGTGCATACACAGAAGCAATTAATGTGGGCTCAAAGAACCTTCTGACCCAGTGCCCGCTGAAAAGCCTAAATTCCCTTCACCACACCACCCTCCTTTTGTGATCAAAAGGTGGATGTTGCTAACGAGAAGAGGTTTCTCGATCGGCACATGGCAGTCACATCCCGCAGCCAAGACGGAACCGAAAGGGAGCCTGCAGAGTTCCAGTGTGAACCGCCACAGAAGGAAGTCCAGCAGCTGCTGGTCTTCCCGCCAACGTCATGGAACAGCCCAGCGTTTCTCCCCTCTGGTCTTCAGAAACGAAAGAAGACCCGTCACTAAGCAACAAGCCTAAGAAAACAAGATGCTTTCTTACAGGAGACAAGATAAAGCCCCGGCAGTTAGCTTTTTACGTTCTGCACTCACCACAGGACGACTCTCCGGACTTCGCAAGTACGCCAGAAGAACGTCAAAGACTTGCAGCATTTCTTCACCGTGAACTGAAGCTAATGGGGAGAACAGACATTTTAATCTCACAACCCACTGCACGTGCCCCTTTTCATTTCTGATTCCGCTTGGATTTCATCCCAAATACAGCTTCTCAGAGCTTACAACTGAAATAGTTGCTCCAAAGAAAGGAAACCTCAGAGCTGCAGTGAACTAATATGGGCCTGACAATAGTACACCATATGTTTGGTTGCCCAGGATCTTAAGAGAGCTTCTGAGGTCTTCTGCCTTTCATTCCTCTTAATTACTGTCGTTGCTGCGTTATCGCACGTCATAGTAGGATTGAAAAATAACACACATTCTGTAAACTGCTCTGGCATTAGAACAGCATTATTTATTTAAATAATAAACGGCATTAGCGCTACCAGTGCCTATAATGGAAAGTATGATAGTAAAGCCAAAGAAAAACACTTTCTAGGACTGATTTATGAACGTCTGATCTTGATTCTGAACGGCAAAGAATCCTGGAGGAGAACTGAGAAACATTACCAATAGAATTTCTTGTGCTGTTGTGACGATTCTGAAGCTTATATATACACGCAGACACACACACAGGCCAACTTACCAGCCCAGCGCGAGAGGGCTCCTAGGAGGCTAAGGGCTGCCCTCTGAACTCGAAAGCAGCCAATCAAGATGTTGCCTACTGTAGCTCCAAAGGAAGAGGATGGCACAGCCAGACCGGTGCAAAACTGTAGTAGGGTCACCACAGAGCATAACAAAGACTTGTGGGGAAATTCCACTGCCAAGCACGCCTGGGGAAGCAATGGATATGTGTGTTCTAAGCTACTTTAATCAGAGCTGTAATTCTGTAGAGGTGTGTCCTGCAATCTCTCTGAACATGGTAACGGGGCTATTATAACAGCCAATGCAGTTTTAGGTGGCATCAATACAAGTGTAGTTTTCAATTCATAGGAAATAATAGCATTAATATTTTCTGCATGGAGCAGTGACCATTTTGTGTCCAGTTTTGGGCATCACATTTTAAGAGGTATTCAGAGAAACAGGATGCAACAACTGGGCAAAACAGAAGGCCCACAGGGCCTAGCTTTCCCACGTTAAGGAAGGCTGCTCTTCTCTTACCAACTCCTGGATCTCCTCGAGATGAGCCATAGTCTGACACAGGAGACTGGCACACGAAGACCTGGTAGAGAGAAGAGACTCCACAGAGGAAGCATCAGAAAGGCCCTCATCCAGCAACCCTGAAGCATGGGACGAAACAACATGTTTTAAGGCAAAAGGCTTCTCTGACACGGCTGGAAAAACCCTGCAAACAGGAGAATTCCCACACATCTAATCGTGCAAAGAACCATCTAGGACATTCTTGCAAAGTATTATTGCTGTTTTAACTCAGTCCCCAGATAGCCTGAGGACCTCTTTCCCCAACCCACCCATTCTGTTTAATGGATACGGCTGTTAATGAGGCTGGGTGGTGACTCAGCAACTCGCCTGGGAATTCTAAGCGATGTGAAGAGGCTCTCAAGATGCAGCCCATTGGCTGGAGCAAGACAGTCAGGCTCTGGGCTTTAATTGCCTGTGGGCTTCAAAAGGAGAGAAAGGGATCCGTTTGTTTTGCGTGCTCAAGATTAGAGCTTTCCGTTGGTTTTACCTAGGTTAAAAGTTTGTTTCATAAATTAATCAAAATTCCTTCAATATAAAAACACAGGAGAACATGCATGCTTGCACATACACCACAATGCTTCTTCAAATTATGTGACTGGTACGCTAGTTCAGTTTAACTTGCTGCGATCTACAAATTCTACCGTCTTTAGAACTGTTGAAAGGACATTAAAACTTCACAATGGAGAAAAATGGAAGAGGTGGAAGAGTCAAGAGCAGAAAGGGGTCACTGATTTTTATGACTTGAATCCATACATCACATTAAGCCACATTTTTTGAATAAGCCACAATTGTCTGGGCTCACCTTACCATATTCCACACTTGACTTGCAAACCCTATCGCTATGCCTCTTCCTCCAGTATATACACTTAAGACCGCAACCGCAGACTTTTATCAGGCATGAAAATAAGGGCTTAAACGTGGCATTAAAGAAAAGGGGAATTTGAATCTGCAGTTAAACAAGTCAAGCAAAATACTTATCTGCTCAGCAAGCCTACTGATGAGGCTCATTCATCATTTAATATTAACATTTAGAGCAGTGTTTCTCAACCTCAGCAACTTTAAGCGGTATGGACTTCTGGGAATTCTGGGAGTTGAAGTCCACATCTCTTAAAGTTGCTGAGGTTGAGAAACACTGCATTAGACCGTGGGCTCCTTTTTAGAGCATCAATTCCTACCATGTGTCAAGCTTCAAAAGTCCCCGTGCCAGAGGGCCGACTTGAGCCAGACTGATATTCTTCAGAGCAAGTGCCACCAGCTTCCAGAGACTACATTCATGACAGCTAAATGCAGGAGACCTATTGAAGGGAGAATGACATGTTGAAGAGCTGTGTCTATCCTCAGGAGTATTTTCCTGGGGTGACCCAGCTTCAGGTCATGCAGACACCACCTCATTCCTCTCCTAAAGCCACAACGTAGGCTCATACCTTCTGAAACTCTTCCCAAGACTTCCAGCACTTCTACAGATAGCAGGAGCCTTACTAATTAGAAGAAGTGAACAGAGACACGCCAAACCTATGACAGAGGTTCCCTAAGTATTCCCAATTTATTCCCCAATATACTTCAAAGGACTGATTTGAAACTTTGGGGGTCTGAAATGGCTTGGATCCAGACAACCTTCTGAAGTGCCTCCCTGCAAGTTCTCTTGATGAAGCATTGGTCCTAACATCTCTTTCATCTGAATTCAGAATGATTGAGGAAGAGAGAGAGATTTGGGGCATGATACCCTCACTCTGAATTAGAGAAGGGGCAAAACCATTCAAGGGCACCTTGGCGAGTTGTCTCAAACTACCATCTTATCCTTTAAATCTCAGCAGTGGGTTTTGCGATATAATGGCTCATTTTAGTTGTTAAGGCTGCTGGACCAGCCCTCATCTTGCAGCCAAACCTCCCACATCCTGTCCTGCTTGCGTTTGGCGGCAGTTCCCTAAAAGTGGGAAACACAACTCATGTGGGCTCCAGGGCTGGGCCAGGCTTGGTGAGCCACTTGGGGAGGGGAGTTGAACAACGTAAAGGGCAAAATGAGCATTTAAACATCTGCAAGCCTTCATCTCTTTGTCCCCCAAATGCAATAAAGTGCTCAAATGTTTGATCACACCCAGGGCCCAGTTTTTTATACCCTTTCCTGCTATTGAGGGTCAGCAGTTGAGACACAAGACCCAGCCATGTAGGATCACCAATGATGGCAAGAACTATGGAGGAACTCTTCTACGTGCAAGCCCTGTCCCACCATCTTAATTAATTCAGGGCTCTTAAAGAATAACTTATGGACAGAAAGGCCACTTACCTTGCCATGCTGAGAAATAAATCCACCAGCAAGTGTCCGGCTTGGACTGGCTCCTCTGTCAGGAGAGCTCCAACAGTTTCTGCTATGCGTGACCACAATATCTCAGTCCAGGCATCCTGGTTGTGTTCAAACAACGTCGTTAACAGCTTCAGGGAATGCTGGACCCGGGAGGAAGAGTGGGACTTGAGAGCATCCTCAACCCGGGCAACCATCATTTGAGCACAAGCTGGCCAATCGCAGTCCTTTGAACTAAGAAGACGAGACGGTTCAGACTCTACAGAGAAAATGAGCACGCGGGCAAGAAGCCGGTTGGCCCCTGCAGCGATGAAGAGGCTGGGGTCTCCTTGAAGAGCGAAAATCACATCTAGAGCTCCTGTTGAGAACAATAACGGATGCTGACAATTTTGGGAGAAAATAGCTATTCCTCAGGAAAACTCCCTTGGGGGTATAAGCAAGATGCTTTGATTTAGCAATGAAAACAACATTTTAATTACTAAGACTCTGGTAAAATGGCACACTTTTTAAAAAACAAAATATCCCTTGATTCTCCTACAACGTTGTAGTAGGGGACAAAAGATAACATTTCAGAGATGACACTTTCTAACCAAGGACAATAGGTTTTATTTCACCGAAGCTTGAAATTCCCTTTCCACAGCTCCTATTACTTATATTAAGGTGTCAAATATAATTCAGGATGGAGAAAGGAAAATAATGTGATTAATTCGGTTGAGCAAGCTTTAGTTTAACTACAGCAAGGTAGAAGTACAGACATTAAGGTCTCCCAGGGATGCACCTAAACCTCTGGCATGGTCTCCACAGCCCTTCCAAATGTTGCCAGCCAATTCCTCTGAACTGGAGAGTAATCACATTAATGTCATCTAAATTCAACTGGAATTGAAATTACATCCAGTTTCGCTCCTGGACCCAGCTCTTTTTGGTGTGCAGCCCCCAACAAGTCACTCACAGAGCCAGAAATGGTGCATGTTCCTGCCACTGGGTGTGGGGAAAAAGGGAGCTGGTCCAGGAGACACCCAGGATAGGAGAGCCCGGCTGGACAACTCTGATCTTAGGGGACGAAACATCTGCACTTGCCAGAGTTGCACAGAAACTGGAAGGCGCTGTAATGCTGCAGCATGATGTAGACGCCCTGCACCCAGCCGCTCCGAATGGTCATGTCTTCCCACAGTGGGCTGCCCAGGGGCCCTGCTTCTCCAAAGGCACCAAACACCACCTCCTGTTGCTGACTCAAGAGAAAGAAAGAAAGAAAGAAAGAAAGAAAGAAAGAAAGAAAGAAAGAAAGAAAGA